TTTTCGATACATGACTGACGAGGCACACTTTTTTCCCGCAGTAGGTTGCCATTTCTTTCTGCAGTAGGTCCGTTGGCATCCAAGGCTATAGAACCCAGTCTGTCCTGCTATTTACCCATAGTTGGTGGTGGGAGAGAGAAGAAGAGGATTCATACATTTTCCAAGGGTATAAACACGTTAAGTGAATGTAATTGGATTCGACTGGAATTCGAACTCGGCTCTCTGATTCCTCAATCCGAGGCGCTTTTTTCGGCTTTACTAAACAGAAACACATTAGTATGCTATCGCCTTTGCTACATTCACTTCTTTCTTTCTTTCTTTCTTTCTTTCTTTCTTTCTTTCTTTCTTTCACTAAAACCAAGTAGCGTCTCTGATATGTATTTTCTGTCTATCCACACGATCAAAACGGAGTAGTCCATAATTTATGACGATTTATCCATTTCATAATGTGTGACGTCATTTGTTTACATTTGGATACGCATCTAGCAGATATGAATGTACGAGAGAAAATCATGCAGAATTGTAGTTTAAAAACAGTAAAATCGACCTTTCTAACCGAAACGCTCCTCTGTGGCTAAATCGGTAAAGCACGTCAGGCCATTAGACGGTTCCGTATAGAATACAGGTTCGATTCCTGTCGGAGTGCGCATATTTTCTATGAAAAATTTCTCGGACATTCAGGCCGGTAAATGCCGTTAATACTGTTTATTATAAACAGATCATTTACTTAAATATTTGTATCTATAAAAGAACGTATAAATATAAAAATGTCTTTTTATATATATATATATATATATATATATATATATATATATATATATATATATATATATAAAGAAAGAAAGAACAGTAAGGTATATAATCCGGTGTTCTTAAAGATATCTTTTTATTTTTACAAAATAGTGCTCAATGTAAATTTACAGAGCATTAATATTATAAATTAATTGATTTAAAATATGTTTTTTTTCGCTACACAGTTCTAACCATGTTTCAAAAATGGAAGCTAAAAGCTTCGAATTTAATTTTATAATTAAATTAAAGACATTAGTTCCATTTCATCCTCAAGCGCATTTTGGAGTCGAAGCTTTTAGCTTCCATTTTTGAAACATGGTTAGAACTGTGTAGCGAAAAAAAATCATATTTTAAATCAATTAATTTATAATATATATATATATATACGATGCATATTTAGGCCGTAATAATACATTTAAACAACTTACTGTACTATACCAACAAAGGTTAGATGATGACCCCCCCCCAATGTCAAGTGTAGCTCCGCGTACCTGTGCTATTAGTAATAGCACAGGTACTCCTACAAATACCTTAAGATACCCCTTAGATTCTGCTGGGTTGCTATCATATTGCAGAAACGATAGGTAAATACGCCTTCATTTTCTATTTCATAATTTATTCAAAACTCTCTAGTCAATGTTCATAGGCAGATTGAGAGAGAAAGAGAGAGAGAAAGAGAGAGTGAGTGAGAGAGAGAGTGAGATTTTGCTAAAAAAAAAAAACAGCTTTCTCAGCTTGTTCACGTGAATCTACAGTCATGTGACCGGCTCTCTTCTTGTCACTTTATCTCTTCTCTTCGGCTTGTATTTATTTATTTAGTATTTATTTATTTATTTATTGTACTCAGGTATGGCGGATGGGGTGAGGAGGAACGAAGATGCAGAGCTGTCGTAATTTATACGGGTAATCACCACAAATAACGGATTAAAATGACTATATTTAACAGAAGCCAAGCACATTTTTTCCAAGTGAAATATAAAATGTGTCTATTAAAAGAACAAGAAGGGGGAAATGAGAAAGAAAGGAAGAAAGAAATATGTTTGGCAAAAGGCCACGTTTTGTGAACTCACAATTTAGACATCTTTTCTTTCATTGATTAGCTTCTTGGAAATATAAAGATTGATAATGAAGAAAGTGAGATAGATAGATAGATAGATAGATATGAAAAAGAGGGCACAAGACATGTAGAGAAAGTAATAGAGATGTGGAGGGAGAGTGAGAGAGAGAGAGAGAGAGCAGATAAGCTTGCGTGGGTGTAGAAAACAAACAAAAAAAAACCCTTAATAATAGGTCGACCATCCCAGAAATAGAACTCAACTAGCAAGAAATGTGTTACGCAGATGAGGATAAAATCGTCAACACGGAATTACCCTTCGCTGACAGGAAAGAAAACAAAACAAACAAAAAAAATGAAAACAAAAGCCAAACTAAAAAAAGAAATTATATATATATATATATATATATATATATATATATATATATATATGTGTGTGTGTGTGTGTGTGTGCGTTAATATTAATTTATTTGTTTAAACGTTGTTCTAAATTGATACCCATATTTGAGCAGATGCTCTGTTTTTATTTATTTATTAAACAGTATATTTATTTATTGATTTCTCTAATATTTCGGCCAGTACATGTTGAAGCAAATAAATTAAAATATACCGGACTTAATATATTTATATATATATATATATATATATATATATATATATATATATATATATGAAAAGATTACTTAACTTTTAAATATCAATTTAAAAATTGATAAAATAGATATTTAAAAGTGAAGCAAACTTTTCATATATATATATATATATATATATATATATATATATATATATATATATATATATATATATATATATATATATATATATATATATATATATATATATATATATGTTAAAGTAGTACACAGTAAAATCCAAAATTACCTCATATGAGGGATAGATCTATTTCTACCGAGGAAAACTCTGTCAGTCTTATTCAACCGCGGTATATAGACTGAGTCCGTGTCGGAGTTAGAAATTTGACTTTTGACATTTGTGGTAAAATTCATACAGAATTTATCCATTTTAATGTTACCCTCTGACAAAAGGTGAGGATGGAAGGTATTAACCTCAAAGGGAAGAGGTTTTATAAAATTAAACCTGGATATTAACCTTATGATATCAAATTGAGGTTATATGAAGAATCAAGTGTAAATTTGAAACTAAGAGATGAATGAAAAGGGTTATTATTTTCTTAAGTTATATAGATGTGTTCAAGTTTGAAAATACAAGTTCCTACTTAAAAAAAATAACTCTTCCAAAGATGAATTAAATAAGATTATATTTTTTTTAAAATTTATAATTAAAAAAAAAAATTATATTAAAGAATACAAAATATAAAAAATATTTAAAAATAAAAACATAAAAAAAATAAAATAAATTATACATTAAAAAAATCCACTTGGATGATTATATACCAACGTATTTATTACCTTTACACACACACACACACACACATATATATATATATATATATATGAAGAAATAGTTTTATGGTCTGCTATATTTATGGGGTAAAGAGATAGAGCGTATGTAAATATAAATATGAAAGTGAACATTGAAGTCAAAACTCAGAGACGACAGGCTGTTTCATGCTAGGCGCAATCGTCAGGCTTCTGAGTGTTGACTTCAATGTTCACTTATATATATATATATATATATATATATATATATATATATATATATGATGATGATTGCGCCTAGCATGAAACAGCTTGTCGCCTCTGAGTGTTGATTTCAATGTTCACTTTTATATATATATATATATATATATATATATATATATATATATATATATACACACCCAAGTATATAGGTTTGTTGTATACGGAATAAATTCCAGTAACCAAAAATACTATTCTTAAAAAGAGGGCTCAATACAGAGTAGAGGAAATGTAATTTATTCGAAAATTATCCCATAAATATGTTATAAAATGACTACAAAAATAGCCATTTTGTTTCAACGCTTCTGTTATCTTATCAAGGGATGATGTTGAATGTTTAAGGAAGTAATCCACTTTTTATTTTTTTATTTATTAATCTGGTATTTATTTACCTCTATAAGTGTGTGTGTGAGTTTTGGGATTCCCTGTAAGGATATCGTTTGTATTTGTTGCGTGTGGCTCTAAATAAATCGGGCTTTTTTTGTTCTTTCTCCAAGCGTTACGTAATCAGGTGAGTTAAAACAAAAACAAAAAATCGTCTGAAGTAGTTTATTGGTTGACGGTAGTGACACTGTCATTGTTATTCGAAAATGATGAGAGGACGACCTATGAAACCAAAACTGGATCTATTTGCGTAGAAGCTTCTCGTATTTACGTTTGACAACCCTTCCTCTTGAAAATAAACCCGTCCCAATCTCTCCTTTTTCAAGATTCCACTTGATTCAGGCATTTGAAATTCGTTCATCAAAATCGTCATTTGATTCTCTCTTTCTCCGTCTCTCTCCTTCTCTCTTTATGTATACATATACATATATATATATATATATATATATATATATATATATATATATATATATATATATATATATATATATAAAGAGAGTAGGAAGGTGTATGTAGGTGTATGAATGTTACATAAACGTAATCGGCTGGAGATGTTTATAATGTTTAGTGGAAAATCACTGGCATGTCACAACATGTACTTATTACGTAATATACTCTAGATTCACAATTATATTCATAACCTTATCTAATTAAATAGCTATGACGTACTTTACAATGTCTACTCCATTCTATACTATATCTATCTATCTATATATTATAATATACTTTACAATATATATATATATCTATTACATTCTTTACAATATCTATTACATTTTTAAGATATCTATCTATATATCTATCTCTCTGCCTGTTACATTTTTACAATATCTATCTATCTCATACATTTCTTACAATATCTATCTATCTATCTATCTATCTATCTATCTATCTATCTATCTATCTATCTATCTGTTACATTTTTTACAATATCTATCTATCTATCTATCTATCTATCTATCTATCTATCTATCTATCTATCTATCCCATACATTTTTTACAATATCTATCTATCTTTTACATTTTTTACAATATCTATCTAGCTAGCTATCTGTTATATTTTTACAATATCTATCTATGTATCTATCTATCACATTTTTTACAATATCTATTACATTTCTTGCAATATATATATATATATGTATATATTATATTTTTTACAGTAATATATATATATATATATATTTATTACATTCTTTACAATATCTATCTATCTATTTATTCTATGTATGTATGTATGTATGTATGTATCTATCTATCTATCTATCTATCTATCTATCTATCTATCTATCTATCTATCTATCTATCTATCTCACTCAACTGTTTCCCAGCCTGCTTCTAAATGCTCTCTTTATTTCAACTAAGACCAATAGCAACATTTATGTGGATGCCTCTTCACTGAGAAAGATAGAAGTGAAATTTCATCCTGCTCGTTAATACCCGCGATATTCATCCGACACAGAAAATCTTGATTACACAAGTTCTTCCCTCACCCATACTGCTGCTCCATCAGCAGTCCATTCATATTTGCACTTTGCACATGCGCACACATCGCATACTCACACCCATCGTCCATTATTCTACAATCCATTCACCTATTTCTCTTGCATGTAAACTGTCCTTGAAAAGATATTTACCATACATTTATGGCTTCTCTATAATATATCTGTCCAGTCTCATCTGCCAAACGCATCTTTTTTTTTTATTTTATTCTTGTAAGAGACATGTTCTTTTCTGTTTGATTCCTGACCAAAGAGAATCTCCATTTTGTTTCTTTCAAACTTTTTACTATGGATTTACGTTGCATATGTTATTAGCCTTATTTTGCCAACACCGAGTGCTTTAATTCCTGGCTAATGACTTTTTTTTTTCTGTTTCCTTATGCAATGTTATAATAAAATCATTGGCAATATAGTTTATTATACATATAACTGGCCTATTCTGTTATAAAAGTTTCTGTCAATTAATGACGAGTTATTTTCACTGGTGCCCCATCTGCATGAATTTAAGCGTGCTACTAGGTTGGCCTCTCGGTCCCACCCTTTTGCTGTCGAAACAGTTAAATGTAACCGCCTCTTCTACTCCAACAGTTTCTTTTCTCGCACTTCCCGACAGTGGAACTCCCTTCCTCTTACTTCTATCCCTGATAACTATAATCTTCAAAAATGTAAATGCAATGTCAATCGACATCTTCTGGTGCCTTGATCTTGATCCCTGTCCTTCTCCTTATCCTTTCCTAAAAAAAAAAAAAAAAAAACCTCTTTACTGTTATTTTCACACTCTGTAACCCCTTGCATGCTAGTGGCATCCTGCCTTGCTTGGGTGAAATGTAAACATATATATATATATATATATATATATATATATATATATAAAGAAATATAGTCTTAGGTGTGCTATATTTATGGAATAAAGTGCTCAATATCAGAGATAGAGCGTGTGTAAATATAAAAGTGAACATAGAAGTCAACACTTAGAGGCGACAGTCTGTTTCATGCTATATGCAATCGTCAGGTCCTGACGATTGCATATAGCATGAAACAGACTGTCGCCTATATATAAATATATATATATATATATATATATATATATATATATATATATATATATATATATATATATTAATTTTTATTTATTTATTGTTCAATATGAGTTTCCTTTCTCTGTGACTGATTCCTATCCAAGGTTAGAAAACTCTGTCTATTATGTTATTTAATCCATAGCTAGTGGGAAGTAAAGAATGATCCATACCTTTCCCAACGGCATTTAGATGTGCAGGTGGTGTAATATAGCGGATCGGAATGGGAACTCGAAGAGCAGTGTTCGAATTTCACGCTGGTTTATTACATTGACATAAGATGCCTCGTTCCGTGCCTCTAAACATTGCACCATCCCCAGTTCCCGTTATACAGATAACAGTTCTATCATGTCTTTAAAGTTTCTATCAATTCCTGACCACTGACAATCTCTTTATTTTTTGCTTCCAATGTATTTCTATCGTAGAATAGGAATACGAATTGCTAAATACAAATGTCTGTGAATGAATGGCATGTTAAGAACAATCGCTGATAAAAAGGGTCAACAACTACTTAGAGCAGCAAAAGTCAGGAAGTTATAGAGAGCCGTGATTGATTAAATACTGAAAGGTCGTGACGCATAAAATATAAATATATATATATAAATCATAACGATAAATCAGCCCTAAATCTAAATCCTATTTCTAACCCTAGACTTTCACCAGCTTATTTGTGCCAGGAGAAAAAAAAAAACTACTAAAATTAAAATTTAAAACACATTAAAATGTTTTGTCCGCCATTTTCGGCCCGCTCAAACCGAGGAAGCGGGAAAACTGAAGAAGCCAGGTGTCCAGCGGGAGGCTTGACGTCAATTGAATAAGGATGGGTTCAAGCAAACCAAACGAAACATGTTAACAGTATACGTAATTGTACTTGTGAAATGACATCCGTTAGGATGGGTAAATTATAGTTTTGGTCTCTGTTCGTGTTCATTTTGAATTGGGGACTTTCTGCAAGAAACCTTTCACTTCTTTGTAGTCAGCATCTTTGGATTTTTTTGTTTTTGTTTTTGGTTTTTTTTTCGTCAATTCACCCCAAAATATTAATTCACCCCCAAATAAAAAGAATTTTATTTACTAAAATTCAAACCAAATCTCTCCCAGAGCGAGGCCTTTCCATTGCCTTCCGGTTGAGTTGACCGTTGCGATCGCCCCAAAAGTGGACGACTTGGGTGCGCTATTTATAACTGTGGGGTCTGCGTGCGCGCTCGCACGCTCACCTCGATAAGCAAGCCAAAAAAAAACATTTTTTTCATTTCTTTTTTTTTTTTTTAAATTGTAAAAAATTGTAAGTACTTCGAATATCATCCACACTTACGACAGGTGATTTTTGGTCATTTTTTCATTCTAAGAGTTGGAGATGTTGCGAGGCAAGTTAAACAAATTTTGATTTAAAAATTATAATTTCTTGGGGTAAATTAACATTTACGATAAGTCACTTCATATTATATGGGATAAATTAACAGAGAAGATCCGTAAATGTTTACTGCTTAGATGATAGCATATAATATATAAAAAGCTATTTGACTTTTCGTGTGTGATAGATGCGTTTTAGTAAGGGTACCATTCAAAACGTATCCCTTACATTTATCTGCCTGTATTTCTGTCTGTCTATAAATAGACAAGTCTTGCTGTTTGCTCCTATCATTCTGTTTGTGCCTGTTTAGGGTTATGTCTTTTTAATTCTTACTGATCGACCTTTCTCACATGCAAAAAAATGTCTGACTGTTTCATTTTTTTAATTGCATTCAAATTGTTTTTGTCTTTCCACTTGCCATATTTAAAACTTTGTTCATATTTATTTTACGATGTTCCTATCTGGCAGTTCATTCATATCTATATATCTCAGTCTGTTCATATCTATCTATCTATCTATCTATCTATCTATCTATCTATCTATCTATCTATCTCAGCCTGTTCATATCTATCTATCTATCTATCTATCTATCTATCTATCTATCTATCTATCTATCTATCTCAGCCTGTTCATATCTATCTATCTATCTATCTATCTATCTATCTATCTATCTATCTCAGCCTGTTCATATCTATCTATCTATCCCAGCCTGTTCATATCTATCTATCTATCCCAGCCTGTTCATATCTATCTATCTATCTATCTATCTATCTATCTATCTATCTATCTATCTATCTATCTATCTATCTTAGTCTGTTCATATCTCCTTTTAGTGTCCGTTTTTATACTAGAGGAACACATTTTAAGTCATTTTTAAGTCAAACGAAAATTAGTTGTATTTTAATACAATATGTAAACACATATTGTATTTTCCGTATAATTTATAGATAAAATAATAAAAAATAAATATTCATCTCGTATGAAAACAGTATGTCCGACTAGTAGAACAATAGGCCCTAAAAGGCTAATTAGTGGATGACTTGACGTTATTTGATCGCTAGTCACCAGATTAAAATATTGTACAAGATTTCGTTTTGAACACTTTAGCGAAAAAAGTTACTACGAAACTTTCGTTTAAAAATAGAAAGTATATCCAAGCGACAGTTACTGTCCTTAAGATAATGGTAGTGATGATGTAGTGAATGGTAATAAGTAGAAAAAAATGAGGTGGTATTTAATGGTGATCTGAAATTGGGAGCGTGTTGACGCAGGGAATGAGATCGGCTGTTTTATTTATTTATTTATTTTGTTAATTATCCTTTTCCTGGTTTCGACACAAAAGCGAATTCAATGTCAAATGTGTAGGTGGTAGTGGTGGCCAGGGATAGGACGTACACTTACTCGGCTAAAACAAAACGCCTTTACCATTGTGCAGTGTTTAGCAAGGTTCGTGAAGCCAGTTGGCCTCGTATACAGGATTTATTCCTTACTACTGTAGCGATCGGGGAAACGTTCTCTCGGGGGTTTGTCCCACAAAGCAGCGGCTCCTAGGAAGAATCTTTTCGAATGGAACTTCCTCCTTACTAATGGAATACGAAGGAAATGGGGATAATTTGATGATTTCGTCTCGGGTTCTTAGTTTTGAAGGTATGAATTGGTGGAACACATGAATGGATGTGTGTAGGGGTGTATTGTATTGATATTTAGTAAACTAAATGCAGGACCATAAATGTAGTTGGACTGTGAGGACTGAACAACATCAGCCCAGAGATATGGCAGTAATATTCCATTTTTGGTCTGATCTGACTCTTGAAAAGATACAGCATTGCAACGGGTGCCATGTTCTATCTTTAGAAAAATCAGGTCAGTTAGGTGTTTTCTGGTTTGGTTTAGTTTGGTTTGGTTTGGTTTGGTTTGGTTTGGTTTATGGAATATCAAATTCAATGGGTTACTTAATGCTGACAAAAATTTTAATGCTGGTTTTTCAAAAAATATATTGTTGGTAACAATTTTTTTTACAAAGCATTTCTGGTATTAAATCCTATTTTTAAACTTTCATAGTGTTTTGACCCCAGTTTATGGGTTAACTTTTTGGCCATAACTGGGACCCTAACAGGTGCTACCACCCCGAGTCAGGGTGGACCTAGGAACACCAGAAATTAAGAGGTGGTTCCACGTGTAGGTGTCGTGACTTTTCTTTTACAAAACGAAGCTAACTTGAATAAATGCTTACCATGGAGCTATTTCCGCAGATCATTACTACAACGAGATAACAAAATGACAAAAAAAAAAAAAAATTGCAAAAAGTTACAAAGGACAGGAAATTGAGGAGAGCCATGACCGCCAACATCCCGATGGGACAAGTCACGTTTGAGGAATAAGAACCTAACTTTATAAGGAGCTGCACCTTCGACTTCAGACGCTACTAGAGATCAGCTGGTGGTGATGATGTTGACTTCAAATAGCGAAGATGCTGTCGAACGATAAGACACGAATCCTTTTTTTTTTTTTTCTCTTCTCTTTTTTTTCGTGAGTTTTCATGAAGGGTAGAGATCGGATTCTTCAAGAGGCTAACATCTGCCAGCGCCTGGTTGATTATCATAATACAGTCTGGTGGAGCCCTGAGATAGGCATAATGTAACGACCAGTGAATGAGGGCCACAGAATCAGTTACAGTTTCGCTACTTAACATTTGTGTACATTGCGTTAGAATCTGTTATACTCCTACAACTCATTTTTTTTTCTTTCTCTTTTTTTTCTTCAGGTCTTTATTCCACTTATCTCCTAATCTGTCTCTCTTCTTTCTTTGTCTTTCGTTAGTTCTTTCTTTCTTTCTTTCTTTCTTTCTTTCTTCTACTTTTTGTTTTCTCACTTTGGCCTATTCTTTTTCTTTCTTTGTTTCTTTCTTTATTGTTGTCTCACTTTTGCCGACCCTTTTCTTTCTTTTACTTTTTGTCGTCTCACTTTTACCTATCCTTTTTTTCTTTCTTTCTTTCTTTCTTTCTTTCTTTCTTTCTTTTCTTTCTTTCTTTCTTTTTACTGATGTTCTCATGTTCCACAGTTTTTAGATTTCGATTTCAAGGTTCGTCTTCTTCTTATTATTATTATTATTATTATTACTATTATTATTAATTTAATGTATATTTCAGTATTCTTTTTAATTTGTTCCTAGTGCTCCTGTTATTATTGAAATAGTTGCTGTCATTTTTTCAAAAACATATTCTTGCAAATTCTATTTACAAGCCTAGTTAAATTTTGACATTTTAAAAAAACAATCTTTTGAGATGTTCCTACCAGATGCGATGGCCGTGATTATTATTATTATCATTATGATTATGATTATTATTATTATCATCATTATTATTATCATTATCATCATTATGATTATGATTATTATTATTATCATCATTATCATTATCATCATTATGATTATTATTATTATTACCATTATTATTATAATTATCTTTATGATTATGATCATTATTATTATTATTATTATTATTATTAAGTGTATACGATGAAATATGCAATTACTGTTAACTTCTCAAATATCAGGCTTCCTCGTTTGAACACTTCAAGAAATTGCATTCAGTTCCTTCTGCAAACTCTAAATCTATTCATAAAAAAAAATGGCTCGTTTCTTTTTTGGTGTAGAAAGAATGAATTCATGGTAAAAGGCCGTGATACGAAATGAAGATTTCAGAAAGCTGTCCTCGAGCCCTCTGGTCTTACCTCTAAGCCCAACTCACATGAACTTCACCTAAACAACACTACGTTGTTTCAGCGAACGATTTATGTCGGGCTGACTTAACCAAAGTTGGGAAATGCTTTTTTCAGGCGGGAATTTTGCTATCAGGATTCTCCTTACCCTCACCCCGAACTTGCTGAAAATAGTTTGCCTGGTTTTCACATCTAAGCACCAATTCCTCGCCCCGTTCTTCATTTCATCAATTGCCCTCTTTTCTCATGAGATCTTTCTTCATACTGTTTTTTCTCTACTTTTTTTTCTTTCTTTTCTCCTTCTTTCTTTCTTGTTTTCTTTCATTCTTTCTTTCTTTCCCGATTTCCTCTTTCTTTCTTTCCTTTTTTCCTCTTTCTTTCTTTCTTTCTTTCTTTCTTTCTTTCCTGTTTTTCTCTTTTTATTCTTTCTTTCTTTCATGTTTTTCTCTTTTTATTCTTTCTTTCTTTCTTTCTTTCTTGCTTACTTCTACTTTCTTTCTTGTTTGATTTTCTTTCTTTCTTTCCCGATTTCCTCTTTCTTTCCTTTTTTCCTCTTTCTTTCTTTCTTTCTTTCTTTCTTTCTTTCTTTCTTTTTTTCTTTTTATTCTTTCTTCCTTTTTTCTCTTACTTTCTTTTCTTCCTTTCTTTGTTTTTCTTTTTTACTTTCTTTCTTTCTTTGTTTGTTTTTTCTTTTTTCTTTCTTTCTTTCTTTCTTTCTTTCTTTCCTGATTTCCTCTTTCTCTCTTTTATTCTTTCTTTCCTCTTTTTCATTTTTCTTTCTTCCCTCTTTTTCTCTTTTTATTCTTTCTTTCTTGCTTACTTCTACCTTCTTTCTTTCTTTCTCTGCCTATCTATCTCGCTTTTCTGCTCAGTCTTCATTCTCTTTCTCTCTCTTCATCTCTCTGTCTTTTCTCTTTCATCAATCTTAAACCCCTCTCTGTCGTTTCTTCCCCCGCTTTCACTTCTCTTTCTGTATCATTTCTTTCTGTGTTTCTAATGCTCAGTAGTTATAAAGCGAAATGGACGTCAAACATTTGAAGCGCATGCTTACCTTGAAAATCGGCATCCGAAATATTAGCCTTCAACTCGGTTTGAAAACCAACTTTTGGCATTGTTCGCAAATAGATACATATGTTAGTTACAAATCAAGCCCTGATAGATAGATAGATAGATAGATAGATAGATAGATAGATAGATAGATAGATCATGACGTGATAGATAGATAGATAGATAGATAGATAGATAGATAGATAGATAGATAGATAGATGAAGTGATAGATAGATCATGACGTGATAGATAGATAGATAGATAGATAGATAGATAGATAGATAGATGAAGTGATAGATAGATCATGACGTGATAGATAGATAGATAGATAGATAGATGAAGTGATAGATAGATCATGACGTGATAGATAGATAGATAGATAGATAGATAGATGAAGTGATAGATAGATCATGACGTGATAGATAGATAGATCATGACGTGATAAATAGATAGATAGATAGATCATGACGTGATAAATAGATAGATAGATAGATGGATAGATCATGACGTGATAAATAGATAGATATATAGATAGATAGATCATGACGTGATAGATAGATAGATAGATAGATAGATGAAGTGATAGATAGATCATGACGTGATAGATAGATAGATAGATAAGCGATCGATCGATCGATCGACAGATAGATCATGAAATGATAGCTCCATTGATAGATCATGGCGTGATAGATAGATCATGATGTGACAGATATATAGACAGATCGATAGATCATGAAGTGATAGATCGATCGATAAATAAATAGATAGATCATGACGAGATATATAGATAGATCATGAAGTGGTAGATAGATAGATAGATAGATAGATAGATAGATAGATAGATCATGACGTGATAGATCAATATATAGGTCTGTGCTGATTAAGGCAAATAACTATGCCTGCCTAAATCGTCCTCAATCCTATCACCCGTGTATCATTGTTGTTCAATGTGTAGGCGTCCCAAGTGATTTACCTTTGAATGCAAACGCCACAAGTGAGCCGCGTAGTTCCCGGCTTAAGACGTCTGTGTTGAGCCAACCCAGCAATTGTTCATACTTAATGCCGAAGCTGAGTGGCAACAGGGCGGTGCGGTGTTAAATCCTGACATAATCCGCTCAAGTATTTAAAAGGCCAGCGGGCTTTTGACATAAGAATAGATAAGAAGCAAGTGATATGTTACTGAAGAAAAATGATTTTTTTTAGTGGAACGACTGGGCTTCCATAGATCGCTTAGTCGAAACGAATAAGTGTTTTGTTTGTTTTTGGTTTGTTTTGCATTTAAAGCAATATTCTAAAGATAATTCATTGACAAAGCTGCATCCTTATTTACATTATTAACACGAGGAAAAGTATTCTAATCTTCCTTTCGGCCGTTGTGTTCTCCGGCCTTCGTCAGGTGCTTGTCGATCAGGGGTAATCATCAAGGAATTTTGAACTGAACCCCTTTATCTAATCTATGGGGTAGATTGTTCTCTTTTTAGTACTGCTCGGTTATTGCTTGCCCCGTTTACACTGAGGCCAAATTCACGGACGGACGCTTTAATCCACAAGTTCTACACTCGGGATTGTCCCACAGGACAGCCTGTGTGTAGAATTTGGATCCTTCAACCGAATCTTTTACTGAGTGTTACGTTTACTGAGATTACGCCTTTTTTTCTACTGCTGCTACTGCTGTTGAAGCCTTGCTGTCATTCTCTTTCTTTATGGGAAATGCATATTGTGAATTATAAGCTGTTTGTTCTAAACAAAACTAATACGAAAGGAGCAAAACTGCGTTAAACCATTTCACTCCGTGATTTAAAGCCAATAATAACAATTTATTGCATATGTTTCTAAATTCAATTCCAGACGAATGATTTTCAATAATTAAGCATTCCTTTTCAATTAATTTTATTTCCAGCCATGGAGTAATGGATAGCGGATCTGATTGAGGAATCGGAGAGCCGAGTTCGAATTCCAGTCAAATCCATTAAATTCACTTACGTACTAATGTCCTTGGGAAAGGTATGAACCATCTTCTTCTCTCCCCAGCTAAGTTTAAATAGCATGACAGGACCGGGTTCTGTAGCCTTAGATGACAACTAGTCTACCTCAGAAAGAAATGGCAACCTACTACGTCAGTCATGTATCGAAAAATAGATGATCGCCTAAGCGTGTATCACGCATGGCACATAATTGACTGACGTGCTAATGCCCTTGGGAAAGGTATGAATCCTCTTCTTCTCACTTCCCAGCTATGAGTAAATATCAGGACAGCTACTTAAGTGTATAACGCTCAGTCTGAACTGCTATTTAACCCATACTTGCGGGAGGAGACGGATTCCTACCTTTTTCAATAAATGATTTTTGCATAACTTGCCAATCCACTTCAATTCGTTTGTTTAGGTTTGTAAAAACAATACGCTAGATTTGGCCGATAGGCTCTGTCAAGTGAAGATGGCTCAGTGGTAGAAACTCTGACTTATACCACGTCGGTTGGGTTTCGATCCTGGCTTGAGGCATTCGGTTGTCTAGTCGCACTGAGGAGCTGTGAAACAGTACTGTTTGCGAATGATATATATTTATTTTTGAATGCCCCTTCAGATCGCAGGTTTCTTTTGTTTACTAGTGGAGATGAAATCCACTTGCTTTCAAAACGGCCGAGGGCAACCGTCTGCAGATTTTATAGGGAAAAATCAGGGTGGACTAACTGGGTTGTTTATAATAGGAAAAGGTTGATAGAATATCTACGGGGTTGATGGAATAACCCAAATCTACTGTCCATGCCATGTGTGATACACGCTTAGGCGATCATGTATCTTTCGATACATGACTGACGAGGCAGATTTTTTTTTCCGCAGTAGGTTGCCATTTCTTTCTGCGGTAGACCAGTTGCTATCCAAGGTTATAGAACCCAGTCTGTCCTGTTATTTATCTATAGCTGGGGGAGAAGAAGATTCATACCTTTCCCAAGGGTATTAGCACATAAGTGAATGTAATGGATTCGACTGGAATTCGAACTCGGCTCTCCGATTCTTCAATGCGAACAGCTATCCGTTACTCCATGGCTAAATAGATAGCCTCCTACTACTAAGAGTTCTTTAAGACCGGAGACATTTTTTTCTCCTTTTAAACCAACCTTATGGAAATTTAAGAAAACAGATGTCGATTCTAACATGCCTTCAGCTATAGCCGTTTTCTTTTCTCTTTTTTTTTTTTTTTTCTTTCTCAAAACCAAGAAAATAGTTTTAAGTATAAAGACTCAGTTCTGCGACTCTGAACTCGAATGAATCACCCGATCTTTCGAAAGGAGCATGGGTAAGGAACTGGAGTGAGGGTGTGGGTGGACGAAGGTGATTGGTAGCCCTCGCTGCGGAACCAGAAATCACAAAACATCTTGGCCCATGACGAGCGCCCTTCACTCGAGCAACATGCCTGAATGAAAGTAGGCAGACCGACGTCTTGGCAGCTGCAAAATTGACATAGCATTTACTAAAATTACTACCACTGCTGTTATTACAACTACTACTAGTAGTAATAGTAGTAGTAGTAGAAGAGGAAAGAAGAAGAAAGCTAAATATATACGAGAAGCTTGCCAAATAATTCCTCGTTTAACAAAAAAAACAAAAAAAAACTGGGCGTATGACTAAACAGATTCATTTCTTTCCTTCAAAGCTATCTGTCCCAACTCAGTGTTCTTTAAAGTTTCGTTTACGTTCACAAACCTGGTGCCCTTAACTCAGAGATGTTAACTTAGGAGTATACACTACGTGGGACTTAAAAACTTCTACCATTAATGTCGGGCGGCCGATCTTCTTTAACCACAATTATCAAGCGCAGTGAAAAGGTTCCTTTTCTTCTTTTTTTCCAGATCTGAATTTTATAGATTTTTTTTCGATTTATTTATTCTTTTCCCAATCGTTTCATTCAAGCATATTTAAGGCCCCTGGGTTTCATGCCATAGAATAGAGAGACAAACTCCGGCCTGTGGCTGCATAGTCCCGATAGTATCAAGCCTATTCTTATGACAGTGTAACCCGGATATAAGAGACCCGGATATAAGAGAAACCCGGATATAAGAAAGATTTTCTCTGGTCCCAAATTAGAGCCTGTGTTAATGTATATAAAATAGACCAAACCCGGATATAAGAGACTTCGTCTCCGGTCCCGACAACTCTCTTATATCCGGGTTACACTGTATATATCCCAGATATTTCAACTATCTTTTTTTTTCTGATTATAAGCATAGTTCTCCTTTTCTTTTCCCCCTTCTTTAAAATGTCCTTGTTGCTCATATGTTCCGCCCATGGTATTATCAGCATCCTTCAATAGAACCAAATCTTGGTTGGGAGAATCTGAAATACCATAGTGGTAGCTATTTGCGAGGTTTTCATAAAGTCATGTCAAACACACCGGATTGCTATATCTCTCCTCTCCTATCGCGTGCCATCATTTTAAACTCAGGAGGTCGACGTCAGGTCATCTTTTCGTCGATCCGCTCCCATCACCCCCAATTTCTCTCGAGTTATTTGCCAGCCTCCTCGTTTCAAGGAAGGAAGCGTGAATTCCTCTCGAAGCAGGGAGGAATTTGTCCTGCAAAATGTCTTTGTTCATTCACCTCTCCATTTGTTTACATACCCGGTTTTTACGATTGTTTTTAGAATTAGTGGCAACCGACAGAGACAATAGCGATAACACTCTCTCTCTATATATATATATTACAGCAAAATAAGTCCTATGTTGAGGTATTTTTTTCTGTAAAAATATATATATGCTCTGTTATTGGGGCACCTCGAGACGGTGTAATGGTTAGCAATCTTGTCTCACTAGAACAATTACGAATGAGTAGTGAGTTCGATCCTCACTGGGTGACCCCTACTTTCGGCCTTGTGCCACATCTAAGCTACGCTTGGAAAATCGCTATATGCTCTGTTATAATAAATCCATCAAGCTCTCTGTGGATCAGTTTTAATAACTAATATTACTAGGATCCACCCGGATTATATACGGACGGATCGATTACCTATATATATATATATATATATATATATATATATATATATATATATACTACTACTACTACTACTACTAATAATAATAATAATAATAATAAATACACAGATTGTGCCTCACTGTTAACCCAACTCTGAGTGTCAGGTTTGAAACACCGATTGTTGTATGATCATCGGAGTTAAGCAACGTCGAAACTGGTTAGTACCTAGATAGGTGACCGCTTGGGAATATCAGGTGCACTAAGCTTGAATGTGCAGTTGGTGTAATAGATAATCGGAGAGCCGAGTTCCAATTTCATTTGGGTCTGTTATATTCACTTACGCGCAAATCCGCTTGGGGAAAGGTATGAATCCACCTCTTCTCCCCCAGCTATGGGTTCATTAGTAATACTTTTAACGCTAAATCAATTTTATCCTCCCCCACTACCACCAAAATATGTCGCAGATGAATTCGCATATCTTTAATGGATTGACTGTTTTGTTACGGTTTATCAAAGCCGAATCAAATTCTTTTTTTTTTTTTTTTGTGATTTAATATTGTATTCACTAATTTTTCGGAATAATAATGATTTTCTCAGATAAACGTCGTACTATTTAACCCATAGCTGGGTGAGGAAACGGATTCATATCTTTCCTTTTCTTTGTGTGTGACTGTAATAAACCCAACGGGATTTCGAACTCTATCTGATTGCTCATCCTGGACCACCATCCATTTCTTCATTACAATAGCAAAATACAACATTAAATTATTATATTCGCCAAACATGCACTACAGTCTCTCGTAGATTGACTTGTCATTTGTCACTTGTCTGCGATTCGTGCAGATATTGATCATCAAAAACTACCAAAAATCTATCAACATAAAAGGAATATGAGTGGATTGCACTAAAATACTATGCATCAGTTAGTGCAAGGAAAGATTAAAAATTACTAATGTCGTTGTAAAAATTAAATAGTAAGTTTTATCACCGGCGACGGTATCCTGAAGTGTGTATAAAATATTTTATATACAGAAATAATACGAATAAATATTTGACAAGTTCGTTTCCCGTGCGACCTGGCTCTATTTGCCCATTATACATGTGGTGCTTTTTTGACTAATTCGAATTCCTTTGCTCTAAAAAAAATGTCGGAATTTTGCCCCCCCCCCAAAAAAAAACAACCCCAAAACTTGTCTCCAACCCAAACACCAACCAGTTCTTGATAATGAACTTGTATAAAACTGAACAATACCTGAACTTCGATCTGTTTATGTACCATTTTCTTACAATATGTCCACCTAATTAGAAAAAAAAAGTCAAATATGAACGATAGACCTTGTCAATTGAATTTAACGAAACGTTTTTGGATAAATTCTTGCTACGTAAATATTCCTCATATATTTGAAGCGATCGGATGTCTAGCCACACTGAGGAGTTGTGATACAATGAATCAGTCTGTGGATGACAATATATATATATATATATATATATATATATATATATATATATATATATATATATATATATATATATGTGTGTGTGTGTGTGTTATAGCAATTAATAATAATTAATAATTCATTATAATATAAATTGAACTGCACCACATATTTGATATTATAATATATATATATATATATATATATATAAATTGCTCTGTTACTTAACAACATTGAGCACTGTTTTTTTGTTACACTATAGAATATATATAATTATTCATACAAAAAGTAGATTAGTAAAGTTAATGATATAAAATGGCGAAATTCATTCGCTACCAAAATTTTAAAGATACATTAATCTAAAAATCACTCAATGAATGATATGATCCTTGTTTTTAAAAATTATAAGTTGTATAAGGTCTTTCTTTAATACGCAAGTACTTCCGACTGTACATTCAGTCATCTTCAGACATCGATTTTTTTTTTTGTAAAATTCAGGTAGCAACCGAGACGAAAAAATATAATGCGAATGGAAATATGTTTTTTTTTAAATACGTACATTTACCTATATTTATACATTTGATATATATATATATATATATATATATATATATATATATATATATATATATATATATTATGTGGTAAATACAATTTTAAGGTATGCCATGTATATATGGTTTAAAGTGGTCAACTTCAGGGATAGAGCTAATGCAAATATAAAATATCACGGTGGACATTGTGGTCAACACCCAGCGGCCATAGCATAAATACAATGGTCAACTAATCTTTAATTGTGAAACAGAGAGGGTGTGAGATAGATGGAGAGAGAGAAGGTGAGTTTGAGAGAGAGAGGGTGTGCGAGAGAAGGTGAGCGAGGGAGAGAGGTGGGAGAGAGAGTGAGTGTGTGTATGTGAGACAGAGAGAGACAGAGATAGATTAACTAGTTTTTCCTCTCTATTTCTTCCCCCAGCCCCCCACCAAAAAACGATCCTTCCTGTTTTTGTCGTACGCCATTATTCACGACCGTTTTTATTCCAAAGAGCAGGCTCTCTGTGAATTCCTCGTCTTCGTGTTTATCTCTTCTTTCTCTCACTCAGTATTCCATTGAGCGACCTTCCTTTTCGATTCTTTGCATACCCCTCCCCGCAAAACGCACATACATACACACTCCTCAAACCTTTACCAATAAAAAATCCAAAGATAGTACGGGAGGTGGGAGGTAAAGCGGCAAGAGGCGGGGAACCAAAGGTACCCGTTATTTTTATTCAATTAGTTTTCAACTGGTTTTTGGTTTCTGCTGATGAATAAAAGACCAGGTCCCCATTAACAAAAAAACAGGCTTTTCTGTTTCCCATCCTGCTTGCTTTTAACGCCATGACAACAACTGATTAGACATTTCAAGAAGAAGGAGAAGATGAAAAAGAAAATGAATGAATGAATGCATCTCTTTGAATAATAATCTACCGAGTTATGGCGGCCGATGCTAATTTAATAAACCAAGGCATTCAACTGTGAAGCAATACAAATTGAAGAGATCGAAATACAGAAAAACGGTTAATAATGAATTTGAAAAAAAACAAAAAAAAAAAAAACGTTTTCCTATCTTTTTTTTTTTCTAGGGTTTTTAGTTGGTATTTTAAAAATCTTTTCTGTTAGTTAGTCTTTCTTTCTTTCTTTCTTTCTTTCGTTCTTTCTTTCTTTCTTTCCACTCATTTTTGATGCTAAACATCGGTTTAAAAAAAAAGTAATAATTATAGTGAGTAAGAAGGAGTGATGGTGAGTGATACAGGGAGGGTGAGGCGGTTGGGAAACATGATAAAGACGAAGAAAGAATGGCGAGAAAAAGACATGAGATGTAAGTGTATTTAACCAATCAACTACTCGAATGGAAGATGGCACAAGGCCGGCCTTATTGTGGGGATCATATGCTTACATGAGACTATTTACAAAAATTGCTCTAACCTTTTCGGCTTTTCTCTATCTGGGCGCTAAGGATTAGCCCCATCTTTGCCTTGGTGTACATATTCATGTGGGATCAAGAACACAGTACAGTTTAAATCTCTGTGGGTTTCTGGCTGGTTCAAAGATGATGTTGAAAGTACGACTTAAAGAATTATAAATTAACCAATGATCTCGTATTTTATGGTCCATATCGTTCTTTCTTTTATTCTCCGCTTCTTTCTTCGTTTCCTTCTTTCTTTCTTTCTTTCTTTCTTTCTTTCTTTCTTCTTTCAATTCTTTCTTTGCTTTATTCTTTCTTTGCTTCTTTCGTTCTTCCTTCGTTCGCTTCTTTCTTTCTTTCTTTTTCCTTCCCTCGTTTCTTTTTTTCTTTACTTCTTTCTTTTTCCTTCCGTCCTTCCTTCGCTTCTTTCTTTCTTTCTTTTATTAGCTTTTTTCTTTCTTTCTTCTTTCTTTCGTTTCTTTCTTTCTTCCATCCTTTCTTTTGCTGCTTTCCTTCTTTCTTTCTTTTTAGCTTCTTTCTTCCTTCCTTCTTTTGTTTCTTTGTTTCTTTGTTTCTTTCTTTCTTTCTTTCTTTCTTTCTTTCTTTCTTTCTTAGCTGCTTTCTTCCTTCGCTTCTTTCTTTCTTTCCTTCCTCGCTTCTTTTTTCCTTCCGTTCTTTGTTTCTTTCTTCCTTTCCTAGCTTCATTCTTTCTTTCTCTCTTTGTTCGTTTCTTTATTTCTTTCTTCCTTCCTACCATTCTTTTTTTTTCTTTTTTTCTTTCTTAATAATTTTATTATCGATGTTTTCGTAACGATAATTTTTCTATAGATTTTATTTTTACTTCATCAAATAATAAATAACGAGCACTTATTTAATATATTTCATGAAATTATTATTTTTAAAGGCTCTTTTGAAGATTTACACCGACACTTGTTGAGCTAAACGCTAAATGGCTTTCGTGAAGAAACATTTGAATACGTAATAAAAATTAAAAAAAAAAATCTCCCTCCTAAAAAAAAAAAAATGGCTTCCAAAAACGTACATTTCTAACGAAACTACACCGCTTCTGACAAAAACAAAAACAAAAAATGTTATTCCCTAGAAACGTAATCAAATTAATTCCACTAATTTAGTATTTTCCTTGTCGATCACAAACATTACGATCTAAGGAAAGCTTCGTCATCGGGTATGATTTTGTAACGTTTCCTCTGAATCACTGTCTGTAGAAGTCAGATAATCAAATAAAATATTTATTGAAGCTTGCTTGTTTTAAATCTATATTATTTTAGTTTTTTTTTTTTCATTTTTTATTTTATTTTTCCAATAAAATGAAATAACCGGTCATTTCGCCCGAATCCCTATTAAACGTTTGGTTTCATTTCATATATAATAGATTTCTTTCAAATGATTTACTCAAAAGTTTGTTTCCGCCTGTGGATGTCCATTCTGATTCCTTGCTTCCCTGTCAACTACAATCTTCAAAGATTCAAATGCCAAGCGAATCACCATCTTCTGTCTTTCTGAACCCTGTTCCTTTATTGCCCTTTCTTCTTAACCCTAGAACACTAACCATGGGTATATAGTACCCAGCAATTTTTTTCCTATTTTTAATTACAATTTTCAGTACCTGATTTTCTTACCTAAATAATATGTTTTTCAGTTCCTATTAATGTTAACTCAAAGTACAAAGTTTGAAATGCCTGCACGTAAAATATTTCAAATAAAAATTTATATTTAATATTTTTTTTGATATTTTCAAAATCGGGTATGTGTTATACCTGAACGTACCTATTCTATTATTAATAGACTCTCCCACACATAATAAGTAGTAGTAGTAGTAGCGGTCGACAGTTGGGCTCAGTTGAGCTCAGTGAGTCAGTCGATATCGGACATTGAAGTATCAACCATCACAACTAGATTGCTGCATCATTAACTCTTATTTCAAGTTCCTAACGTTTTGTACGTCGGACCTTTTTAGGACCGACTTAGCGAAATACAAGCCTCCACTGTGAAAACTACTCTACAACAGTATGATATATCCATGGTTAGTAGTGGTGTAACTTTAATTGATGGTTAGTGTTCTAGGGTTAATAAAGTCGTAACATTGTGTTTCACTCCCAGTAATCCCTTGCATCTTAGTAACATTATTGCCTTGTAACAGTTTATGCTAACTTGAGAAAGGCCTGAATCCATTTCTTCTCCTCACTGCTATGGGTTAAACAACAGGAACGACTGTGCTATCGAGCCTGGATTGATTACCAGTCTTCGAAAAAGGTAAACTCTGAATTTACAACCGAGGAGAAGACAACGTTAAACAATCTTAAAGAACAATCATGGCAATGTATAGTTTAAAAATATTAAAATAAAAAGAAGCTATGAAGAGCCATGATTGCCTAAATACTGAAAGGGCGTGCCATTTAAAAAGCTAGGGAATTCTTTTTAATTTGGATTAAGGAGTTTTTCTAAAGCAAAACAAAATTCCGATGTTTTCTATTTAGGTCATATTTTGGGAAGTGTGTCATATCCAAAATATTTTAGCATCATTACGTGCTTCCATCTAAAAAAAAAAAAAAACAAAAAAAAAAAACAATACTAATCAGCTATTTTCTATGGCTTCCCTGTAATCATCTTTTATGCTTTAATGAGACCTTTCTACATTAAGGTAGGACAGAAGCGACAAAAAAGATAAAAAGAAAATTCCGGGGAAAAACATTTAGTTGTAAAAATTCATTCTGTAAGAAGAGAAAAGAAAATAATCGATTAAGAATTTGTCTTTCTCACAAAATTAAAAAATATAATTTCTTTTTAAATCTGGAATCTGAAATTTTCTCTAAAGGACCGCTAGAGAAAAAAGCGATGTAGAAAACATCCCATCCAAAAGTTTTAAGAACGAAACGCATTTATTGATATTAAACCCTGGTTAACTGCTAGCAATACGTTTATCAATTCGCTATCTTTTTTTATACATTACTGTCTAGTTATATAGATAGACATTTACAAAGAGTGATATTGAATGAGATACTGAATATTCCTCGACCTGAACAAGAAGCACTTACCCATGACATTCTTAAGTTTGTGCATATTTGGTCAGAATTATAGAAGATGGTCGATTCGAGAACTTTTCGAGCTTTCTTTCTTATCCTGTACCTTTCACTCCAACTCTCTCTCTTTCCTTCTCTTTCTCTCTCATATATATATATATATATATATATATATATATATATATATATATATATATATATTAGTTCTTTTACTCAGGTAGCATTTTGTTTTGACAGACTTACAAGTTGTGCTATATATATATATATATATATATATATTAATTAGTACATATACGTGTATCTACGTCTTGGTGTGCAACTAAAGTTTCGTTGGATTTCATTGGTGCGGTCTCAATCCTGTATAACGACATTGAGCACTCTTATGTTTACACCTCGCGTATAAATTTAACGATTATTGATTTGCTTGCCCGCGTATAAACACCAGCACGCGCGAAGACGATTGCTTATATCTAGCCATTTGAATAATCTATCTTATAACTATATATATATATATATATATATATATATATATATATATATATATATATATATATATATAAAGGCTCAAACACTAATATTCCATGTTTAAAATTTATTACATTGCAATCGTAATCACGATCCAATTTATCAGACCAACAAATTAATTTTTTTTTTTTATTTTATAGGTCTGATGAATTGAATCGTGATTACGATTCAATGTAATAAATAACCATGGAATATTAGTGTTTGGGCCTTTTATATTATATTTTACTCTGTTCTGGACATTGGGTTCGACCTGGATTCTATCCTCTTGGGAATTTATATATATATATATATATATATATATATATATATATATATTGACCACTAATATATATATATATATATACGTATATAGATATATAATAATATATATATACGTATTATATAGATTTCGTTTAATTAATTTCCCAATTATATATATATATATTTATATATATATATATATATATATATATATATATATATATATATACCCTTGTGCAGATTAATTGAAATAAAACGAATAATTCGTTATCATTACTTTTTCGTCTTTTTCCAATGAAACATGACCCAGTGCCCATGTTAGTATTTCGTATGTCCATTCCACGAAGTCGTTCCTTGCAGATTGACCACAGATTCTCGATTGGATTTAAATCAGGAGAGTTCACGGGCCAATCTATAGTACTTTGATTTGCTCACTGGAAAGGCTTGCCAGTGTATTCGTGTACGCTTTCTTGGAGTAATGTCCATCGCAGACAATCACTGTAGGACAACTAATTGACAGTCGAGACAATAGTGTCTGGGCGTGATGAAAATCTGATGCAATTACGTAGTATTTTTCAAGGCGAAACAAATTTCATCATACACCTGGAAAATAGATTCATATTACGGCACATCACTTCAAATGACCTAATCTGAGGAACAAATACAAATCGATTACACCCTGTCACTCCTGTGGGTCTAAAACTGACCGTATGGTAAAAGAAAGAAAACTAAAGCTGTTAATTTACACAAGGGTATATAAATTGATCAAATAAAACGTTATCAATTTGACATATTTTTTTAAAAATTATTGTAGCTTCACCAGGATTTTTTGTGACGTCAGGGAGCTTATTTCCGGAATAATTCTGATGAAGGGTACGATAAATTAGCAAAACTATATTATTGTTATTATATTTTTTTATTACGTGTTATTAAGTGTTATTTGTAGGGGATACACATATTCCAGTAAATGCTATGTTTATTCTCGGAACTGTGTTTTAATTCGAATACATGGCCTAATTAAAGAAATGTTATTCGAGAAAAAATGCGCCCTGCGGCTGGATTCAAACAGGCGTCCTCCTTTGCAGGATATATATATATATATATATATATATATATATATATATAATTTATTCATCGAGTCTAGAAGAAAACTCAACATAATTCAGAAAGCACTGGACGGCCGTTTCGTCCTATATTTGGGATTCATCACCAGTGCGCATCCACTACCGAGAATTGAAATCCGGACAGTTACATCATAGCAACTGTTATATATAGGATATATATATATATATATATATATATATATATATATATATATATATATATATATATATATATATATATATATATATATATATATATATATATATATATATATATATATATATATATATATATATATATATATATATATATATATATATATATATATATATATATATATATATATATATATTATAATTATTTTTAAAAATATGATTCCAACGACAAAAATAATTATAATTTAGGCTCTACTTATGTTTTGAGCACTGTTTTTTTTTTTTTTTTTAATAAAAACATAAATACTTTTTTGATTGGATTATTAACCTAACGGTTCTTTTCTATTTTTCTATATTTACACACACACAGACACACACACACACACACACATATATATATATATATATATATATATATATATATATATATATATATATGTGTGTGTATGTGCGTGTGTTATTTTCCTCTTTTCCTTTCTTTATCTTTATTCTCTAAAGCCTAAGAGTTTGCTATCGGCTTAAAATCTTTATCCATCTAGTCATTATCTTTTATCTCCCTATCCCGCTGTCGAGCGATACTTAGTAGCCATTTTGAAACGTACCCTCTTCTCCATTACCCTTTTTTACTACACTTCCTTTTTATTTTCTCGCACCACCTCCACTACTAAACCCTAATATTTCTTTCTTGCCGCCAACTTCTCACACCTTCCGTCGTTTCGTTACTTAAAAAGCATCCAACAAGCGCCACGTCATCCCGAAAGATTTCCCGCCCAAAATGGCCAGCTGTATCTCGTTCGTTACTCCGTGAGTTCATTGTCGTCTAGCATCTTAGGGGGGTTCAGTTTTTTTATGTTATTTTTTTTTTTTGTTATTTTTAAATTTTGTAGAACGTTCGCCAATAAGACAAGTTTCTTTTAAAAATTACTTTTCCAAATTACTTTCTTGATAATTTATAAAGAATTACAACATCTTTTTCCCAGCTTTAAATTCTAAATTCACAAAAGGTTAATTATATTTTGCCATTAGAAAGCCGTTGAACACGGCCGCCGATATATATATATATATATATATATATATATATATATATAGAGAGAGAGAGAGAGAGAGAGAGAGAGAGAGAGAGAGAGACAGTAGATAAGTTGGTCAATAAGACAAAGTCAAACGAAAGGGTACCGATGAAATCAGTACGAAAAACATTTAATAATATTAACCAGATGACAAAAATGAAGCACGGAGATTGAGGTTCCAAATTCGGAATTTTCGAACACGCCTGTGTTCTTCATCAGCGGATGCGAGAAATAAACAGAGTGACGGTAGAAACTATCAAACATTTTTTTTTAAAGGTGGGTAGAATCCGCTTGTAGGCGGAATTATTAGAAAAATCCGTTCCCTGTTTGATTTCTCGCGTGCGAAACTTAATGTGAAAATAATCCCAGATTTAAAAATTGTGATTGGTGGTGGGTGACAGGAGAGTGAGATGTTGAACATGGGGCAACAAATTGTGGTAGTACCAGGGGTGGGGGCGCTATTAGTGTTGAAAGATTTTATTTTTTGTGGGGTAAGGATCGGTGAGGGAAACATACCTTTTGAATAGTGATTTTCAAAGCAAGCGTTTCAAACTTTATAAATCTTTTTTCATCTTCTGCACAAAAATCTACAGTGCAGCGAGACTAGTTTAATTTTTTTTCTCTTTGGAAAATACTCTTTAAACCACACAAAATACCAGAGACAAGCTAAGAGAAGACATTCTATTGGTTCCGAACCATCTTCCTATTTCATTACTTTGTTTTATTCGGTACTAAGCAGAATTTTAATTAATATAAAGAACGAACATTATACCATATAGATAGCGGTTGCCGACTCGTGTCCGAGTATGGCCATTACTACATATCTTTTTGGAGAAAATCTACTGGTGTGCTGAACAAATGTGGCTCTTTAGCCCAGCAAGGGACCAACATTGGCACAAACAGTGCACTTAAGACGTGCAACAGCGGGTGTTACATAATCATGCAATTTAACATTTCGCACGAAACCGCTTCTGGACCCGCATATCTTACCACAAATATTACGTCGACGGTTTTATAGTCAATTGTGGAGTAACGGATAGCAGCTCGGATTGAGGAATCGGGGAGCCGAGTTCAAATTCCAGTCGAATCCATTACATTCACTTACGTGCTATTACGCTTGGGAAAGGTATGAATTCTCTTCTTCTCCCCCCAGGTATGGATAAATAGCAGGACAGATCGGGTTCTATAGCCTTGGATTGTAACTGGTCTATCGCAGAAAGAAATAGCAACCTACTGCGGGAAAAAATCTGCCTCGTCAGTCATGTATCGAAAGATACATGATCGCCTAAGCGTGTATCATGCATGGCACATAACTGACTGGCACCTTTCGTTGGTGTGCCCTCAAGTGATTCCTTAGACCAGCCATCGACAAACACACTCTGTCACAATTTGTACATGTTAGATCGAGTTGCCTGCGGGTCTCTTCGGGCAGCTCAACTGGGACGCCTTTATGGACATCTCTTTTAAGTTTTGCTCATCTTCAATGTGACGCCTCCCACTACTAGTAGCCTCTTTTCAAACATTGCGATCTGATGCACATTCTTCCCAGTGCTCACAAAGATTGCTGCATTTCCTCAGTGCATCCTTGATGCAGCCCTTAAAGTGCATCTTAAGCTTGACCACACGCATACACATGCACACATACATAGACGAATATATAGGAGTGTTGGGATTGAAATCTTCTCGACCCGAGCCACTTTTAAAACCAAACTAAACATCCGCATTTATTTTAGAACCCCGTCTTAGTCAGGCTGAGAAATTCTCGTCACACCTTCACACACATAAACACACACACACACACACACACACATACACACATTGCCTGTCGACTCTTAAAATTGATGTTAATATTATTTTGGTTGTTTGGAATGTGCTAATCTATATGTGCACGAATCTTGCCAAATGACAAGTGAACCTACGGAGGGTGGTGTATCTGTGACCAATGTAAGAATTAATGTTGTTTGTTGATTATTAATATTGAGATATTTTTTTTAAATCAATTCACCTCCAAGCAAGGCAATAATGTAACTAAGACGCAAGGCGTTACTGGGTGTGAAAAAAAGAAAATGAGAAGACATTTGAAGGAACCGGAAACCGAATCCTAAAAGAAAAACCTCTAATCCTGTTCAAAAGACTGGAGATGATTGGGAACCGTTCCATTTAATAAAAGTTTTAGATTTTCCTTGGGTTCATTCGAAAAGGTTCCGTTAGTTTAATTATTTTTCAATGAAGGTAAGCCGACATAAGTTGGAAGAGTGGAATGGCGGAGAAATCGTCTGATTTCTATCAATGTCTATCCTATTCATTCTCTCTATATCCTGTCCTTAATAAAACTGTTATTTATTTTGAGTGAAATAAGAGTTGTTAATATTATAATAATACCTATTTTTTTTTGTTATTTGACAGGCTTCGCTTATGGATCAAGACCTCTCCCTGATGAAACAGTTGCTTATTTTAAATGAAGCCATCGAAGACCTGAAAGTGCAGCGTGGATATTTATCCAGTCGCGGATCACTTCCCTCAAGCTCTTGCGATCTCAGCGAAAGCCAGTGGTCAGTGTCCGAAACGGAGATGTTTGAGTCGGAAAACGAACTGACCAATAAATACCCTTCTCCGTCCACCTTATCGTTGAACAATGAAGACAAAACCAAAATAACCAGCGACTTCGACGACATCATCAACGAGGCCAATGAAAAGTTGTGCATCACCAAGAAACTTTTCGACAAGAAGTCCACGCCTTCTTCCCAAGTCACCGGCGACAAGAAGAACAATGCCATCCTGGACAACAACAAGAACATATTTGTTGAAAACGATTTCAACGCTTCGAAACGGGCCAGACACGAAGAGCAGAATTCTTTCGATTCGGGGATCCACGAACCCCATTACGTTGATTCGGTCTAAAAACGAGCGGGGTGGGCGAAATGCCACTAACTAGACAGACAGTTTCCTTTGTTAACTTGCTAAAATGCCCCCAGCCGAAAAAACGTGTCTGACCTTAAGAAAATAATTATGAGAGATCTTCGTCGTTTCGTTCTTACAGATATTATTTCGTGTTGATTTTAGACCTTAAACCCGCAGCGGGGGTACATTTGAATATCCACGCAATCAAAATTAATACAATAACTTCTGAAAGAAAAACAAAACACTGACCGACAGTCTGGGATCCTTTGTACTGACCAGACATTATTATACTCCTGTTATTTTATTTTATTTTTTTTTTTTAAAAAAACAAAAAAGAAACAGTGAGTATAAAAAACAGAGAGAAATACTCCTTGCTAACCTTTACACTTACCCATGATTTTATTTATTTTTTTATAAAAATTGGGGAGTCATTTTCTTTGTGATGGCGTTATTTAATGTGCAGCCATTTTTTTCTTGTAAAGAACGCTTACGTAAGACCCAGACATCTGCCGGTCACTTGGAAATATGGTAAAAAAAAAAACGATTTCGAAATTTTAAAACGAAGGTTTGCGTAATTCTTGTAAAAAGATATATACATAGATGCAGCAATTTTGCAGCATATCAACATAAACTAAAACACAAAATTAAAAATTGGAGAATTCTGGACATTTTATTTCTGCATTAAAAACAACGATACAGGATTCTGGGTGCAAGTGAACTGTCGATTTATGTAACAGTGTCGTAAGTTAACGACAAGAACTGGCGATGATCCTAGCCAGCCAATCAGTTTGATTGGAAAAGATAATTAGCAAAATATAATGCTAGTGATATCGATCACAATACTACTGATTGGTTAATCTAAGCAATTCAATAATTGATGATCGATATTGCTTGCGAAAGATTCGATACCAAATCGAAACAGAAAGAGTCAAGAGCATGAAAAAATTTTTTAAAAAATTGGACATTGGCCGCGTAAAACATGCAGTTTTGTATAGCTGGCCGGAGTTACCTCCACTTAATGATTAAGTACTCCCAGAGAGGACTCTCATTGTAATGACGCAATTATTGGCTTTAAACGCCATTTTTTTTTTTTTTTTTTTTACTTTCCGTGACGTGTGCACCATTTTAACGTCCTCTGCAAAATAAATGGATCTCTCTCTCTCTCTCTCTCTCTCTCAATATAGAAATTGAATATAAATTTAGTTTTAAAATTCTATTTAATAATTAATTTAAAAAAAAAGTAATTCTATTAGTTTTAAACCCAAAATTTTCTTTATTTTCTGTGTGGCAAAGGACAGACAGAATATACCTTTAAAAGGTTGCATGACATCTCCCTGCCACAAGTAAAGCATATAAATAGATAAAACTGTGTTTTGTAAGCTCGTCTCGCGAGCTATTTCAAATGAATTCGGCCCGCAGTAAATTCGCTGAAATTGAGTCTTTATACAAGAGAAAGCGATAAAGCGGAGCGTATACCTGCAAAACGCCTAATGTAGAGTAATAATTAACAGACGAAACTCGGAATCTAATGTCAGTGAGTTCGATTCTCACCGAGCGATTTACTACCATGATCTTGTGCCATACTAGGCACTGCTGACACATACATTCAGGGCGCTTTCTGTAGAGCAAGGTTAAGAAACAATTGCTAGTGAGTTACATCGCCAGTGCTCTATTACCACTGCCTTGTGTCAGACTAGAAATAGCTAGTACAAACTTACAGGATATCTGCTGTAGATCGATGGTCGGCAAGCTCGTCTCAGAAACCGCTGCCAGTGACATCGATCCTCACTAAGTGCTCCCCTATTGTGGCCTTGTACCAGACTAAATCAAGCTAATATCTACAAACAGGGCACCTGCTATTGAGCGATGGTTAGCAAGGATGATATTGAAACCTAGTGCTCGCCTAATGTGACCTTGTACCAAGGTTATTATCTATATAAAGGCGGCTTGTCTTGAAGTTATATTTAGCAAATTGGTCTCGGAAAACACTAATGAGTTCATTCTTTACTAAGTGCTCTAATATACTGACCATGTACCAGATTAAATTACCGTTATCTACTTCTGATAATATGCAATCAATACACTTGTAACATTATGTGGAATTTGCAAATAAAATACTAGTGTATCCGTCCATGTTGTGAGCGGCTAATTTCAACGATTTAAAAAAGGATATAAAGAAAAAAGAAAATGCTTTTATTTTGGGCTCGTGAAATATTTAAATTTACTCTACGAGTTGGAAAATAATTCAGCACTTCTTTTTTTTTCTGAGATTCGATAATGTCAAACCGAAGAGCCCCTCCGGTGGAGCGATGCATAAAGGGCTCGTCTCGCAGAATATTTCGCTCTTGTAGTCTGTCAGTTACTTACTACGTGCCATACAGTTTGTCCGTACTAAGCTTATAGAAGTACTTGGAAGCTTCGCCAGTACTACTGAAGTGTATTCGATCCACACCGGGTGGCCTAGTTTTGTAACTTTGTGTCGTAAGTTCAGCAATGATAGATTATGATCGATTCGTTCTGCTAAATGAAATCTCGCCGAAAGGTTTGGAGACTAAGGCTAAAAATGATTTTGTTAAAGGTTATTAAACATATTTGTTAATTCTTTAACACACAGAAAATTCTCACTAACCGAGATTTGGAAACATGCCAGAAGAAATTTATTTTAAATTATTAATATCGATTTCCAGAAATTGTTCTGTTTGTAAAATCGCCATTGTTATATTGAAAAAAAATTTCTTTATTATTATTATTATTATTATTATTATTATATTTTCATACTTGTATGCAATTTTTCAACATAACATGAAGAAATCACGCATACTGTCGAAATATATTGTTAAACACTTTTTTTTTACTTTTCGTTTCTTAAAACGGGCTCTTCTCTAAATGTTGAAAAATATTCGAGGAGTTACGTCGATCATTTTGTTTCTTATTACAATTATTAATGATATTCGATTAGTATTTCTTTCATTTTAATTTCAGTGTTTCTTTCTCGTAACTCCGAGATCGCAAGTAAGCAGCGTGGTTCGGAAATAAAGACGGTGACCCTAGTGCTGGGGGTCCCAAAACCTTTTAGATCATCGGTCCCCTTCATATAATCTTTGATCTCTTATCGACCCCCAGAATGTGTCCTTTTCTTTCATTATTGTTTTTCGATAAGATTTATTCTAGCATTACGTTTTCCTATCACTTTTTGAATTTGTATCTCTCTTCCATTTCTAGACATGTTTGAACAATAATATTAATAATAATGAGGAAAAATGTCATAAACTATATAGGCAATAATAAACACATTATCATCCCTTTTTTATTGAATCAGTTGGCATCATTAATGGAAGGATGTGCAGGGCCGGTGCAGGCGTTTCGTGCCCTCTCCAAAAAACTATGATACGCCCGTCCCACTATGATACGGGGTCCCAACTCTACTAAATCTCAATTTTCATAAGGTAGTATTCATATAAAATACAAAATTTTATCGTAACCTAATTATGTACAATAATGAATCATATGAAATATACGTGGACAATTTAACGAGGAAAAAAAAAATGAAAATAAATACAATTTATCTAATTACAAATTAGAGACATGTCATAATAGATCATTCCATTTTAAATAAATCAATAATATTTTGTGGCAATTTGAGATTTTTCTTGTTAAAAAGTTGAATAATTTTAACACATTCAACATTATGGATAAAAAAAAATAGAGAATTTTATTGTTTTTTCGAAACTTAATATGAGTAAAACAAATTCATGGATTTGGATAAAAAGGACTCCATAATGGCGTCAAAATCCGTGAAATTTTTTCATCATATAATAATGGCCAAGTGTGCTTAGTTTCTAACGTATATATAAGTAGAAAAAAGTAAATATTAATATGAAAGACAGGGGTCACAAAGCACTGCCCAATGCTCCCAATCAGGCGTTCTACCCCCACGATTATATTACGCACCGACCCTGAGGATGTGTTTGTTGATCAGTAGGAAGGGCATTAGTATTTGGTTGGAAATTTGTTTTAATCGTAGGTCATCATAATTTATTTGACCACCCCCGCCACCCTATTTGTTCTACCCTCCCACAGTAGTCCAATCTATCCCCAGGGTTCGATATAGAGCATTTTAGGGGCCTATGCCCTAGTAGAACACTATCTCGCATCACCGAACTTCAGGAGTCTGCCTTTCTCCGGTACGTGGATGTAAACCGGTGGCAGTATAACATTATTCATTATTTATTCCCGAACGTCTGTTATTCTGCCATTTTTTTTTTGTTTACATGAACTAATATCAGTTGAAGGATGATCTGGCATTTGCGCTAATGAGCCACTGAAATTTAAATGAAAGAAATACCCAGCAAGAAATTAATATTCGACAATGTTTCATCCAAGAAACACGAATAATATTACAGCCATTTTGTCTTGTTTTAAATTTTATCTCCAATGTTTCATAAACCTCTCAGAAAAAGCGACTTGAATTTAAAACTTTGTAAATTCAATAATGTTCAAGAATGAATTCTACGAAAATTGGTTACATTATCACTAATATCGCATTGAATATGTAATAAAATTATAATGACTTGACTTACATCAACTTGAAATAAAATCAAAATCTGTCTCAATTTGGTGTAAAATGATCAGTAAGCAGGACGTGTAGATAAATTAGTAAGTTGAGGTCCTGTGCCAGAACATGGATATATTCCGAGTAGTTATTTAGCTTGAAATATATCCATTACGCTTAAAGGATTTTAAGCTAATCTTTCTGAATGTTATTGAAATAGTGTTTTTTTTTTAATTTATTTTATTTCCATCTTTATATTTAGAAATAAGAATTTTGAAACATGAGAAGGTGTAAAAAAAACAACAACAACAACAAAAAAAACAAAAACAAACAGATTTTCACATTTGTACTGATTGATTACTGGACACAGTGTTTTCGATTAAAGTCTAATTCTCGTTTACTTATTGTGAGTAAACGAGATCACGCGGGATAAGTGTGACTGTTAAAG